AGAGAGAGAGAGAGAGAGAGAGAGACCAAATCAAAAACCCAACTTTGCATTGTTGGAGAGACTTGAAAGCCAGTTTCTTAGTTGGCAGACCTTTTGATTTCTTGTGTTCTCAGGGGGCCTCCGCTTTGAAGTGCCGTGTGCTTAAGTGTAAAGTGGTCTTGGGCTTGGCTCTTCCCGTTGCTGCCATGTTCTGTAAATGAATGGAAGTTTTGTGGATGGAAGGCTGAACTTGATCTGGGGTATTGGGTCACCTGACCTTTTTATTCAGTCTGAGTTCTTCGCCCCACCTCCCTATATTAAGCGGTGTTCAGAACATAGTCAGACAGGGCGCAGTGACAGATCAGAACCGAAAGCATGGTGACACTCTCCTTGTATGGTGTGTGCCGATTTACATGGAGGTGGCCACCCTCTATTCACCTTTTCAATGGATTTTGAGGAGAAAGCATGGTTTCAGAAAATGAAAAACTGCATGTTTTCATTGTTTTCAGTTCAGTTTGTCCAGTAGCTGTCAAGCGATTTCATTTCCCACTGCAATAAACTGGAGAAATCACACAAGGTGTTGGACAGTGTGTGTGTGTGGGGGGGGGGTTCTCAGTGAATGAGGTGATCCCATGTGAAGCTGAGCAAAATCAGTAGATCATAATATCAGAGTGACCGCTTCAAAGAAGTGTAAAGAAACTATGGACCGCAAGCTCGGAACACTAGCGTTCCAGATGGGCTCACGATGGAGGGAGGGGCGTTGCATGGGTCTACACCAAATTCGTGACTCAGGACTTGGAAACTGTTCTAGGGTGGGGGGTGGGGACACCAAAATGGATCAGACAAACCTGAGCTGCCTCAATCAAGCACGGTCAGTCTGTTAGTTTAGATCTACTGGGAGTGATTTTTAGATGTGGCAGCCCTTTGTGGCCACACTGAGAAGTGCTCTGCGGAGCTATGCCCTTATGTCCCCATCAGTGGCCACTCCCACTGAGCACCTCTGCTGGACGGTGTCTCTCGGCACACATCTCAGCTCTCTTGGCAGGACTTTGGACTGTGTGTGAGCCCTTGGCATTGAAGCGTGTCCGACGAAACCACGGCTAAGATCGCCCTTGTTCTTTTGATGATGATGGGCCATGCACTGGAACAAGACAGGCTCAGTTTATAGAAGTTTGCTGTCCTAGAAAAGCACTAATTTGGTTTTTCATTCATATCATCTACTTGCATGCTGGGGCAATACAAGAAAAAAAAAAGCAAAACGAAACAACAACCTAACCTTCGTCAGTTCCTTTGGTTGCCATCCGGTCTGAGTTTCCCCTCTGTCTTAAGGAATTCCATGGGTCTCAGTCAGAGCATCCCAGTGGGGATGGGTTCTGTTTGGCTTGTGACAGTATTTTAGAGGTTCTAACAGGGCTCCAACAGACTCTCTCTTCTGAGCTTTCCTCTCTGCAAACTCTGAAAACTCAACGCAGTATGTCCAAAGCAGGCTGCAGATCACAGCAAAGAGCCCTCGGTCTACTGATTCTGTTAATTCACCTTTTGCATTCGAGAGGCAAAGTACAAACTGAAGGTTGAAGGTTGATGCCCCTCTTCAAATAGGAACTATAATTACGCTAGCGCTATCCCTGAAAAGATGCATTTGCACTTAAATATATATATATGTTTTTATATATATATAATTTCTCTTTCTGTGTACAGTTATGTATTAATCTATAGGTCTAGGAGGAGAGGTATAGTACAGAAACAGGCAGGATTTGTACGCTCATGTGTATGTATTTATAATATTTATATTCATGTGTATGTATAGCCTCTGTCCTCTTTCGCGTCATCACAATGAATGTACCTCCGACCAGCGAGGAGTACCTGTCAGTGGCGATGGAGAGACGGTTCTCTTTGTCTCTTCCATGGAGTCGTTTCCGCAGGCAAGGGTGAGGTGCCCGTGAAGCGAATGGCCCCATGAGAATCCATCCTTCCTCCGCCCTCCAAAGAGGGACGCTTGCCTCCCAGGGCTGCGCACAGGCTGCCTCTTCTCAAGGCTTCTGCAAGGAGCCCGGAGCCCAGAGCCAAGGAGGCACCATCCATGCTGTTGGTTGAAGATATGGCTTTTCCACTAGATGGAGACAGGGCACTCGAGCACTTTGTTTTCCAGGAGGACGCTGACCACCAGGAACACGAAGTAGAGGCCAAACATGATGAAGCCCAGTATTTTGTTCATCCGCCACTTGCAGAGGGCGATGGAAAGGATGACGAACAGCAGCATGATGAAGAGGAGGACGATGGCGCAGAAGAGGCCATTGCTGCTGACAGTCACCGGCGTGAATCTGTGGATGATGGTGTAGAGGAGCCAGGGCAGGGGGAGCCTGAGAGGAAGAGAAGGCGGCAGGAGAGGAAGGAGAGAGAGAGAGAGAGAGAGAGAGAGAGAGAGAGAGAGAGAGAGNAGAGAGAGAGAGAGAGAGAGAGAGAGAGAGAGAGAGAGAGAGAGAGAGAGAGAGCAGTCAGGTGTAGCGAGGAAGCCCTTGAAGATGACTGCCAAGGGCCCCGAGGAGGATGACTCTTTAGGGTTGCGAGGACAAACGGCTGGGCCAGGAAACTACGTAAGGGAGTCTGGGGGCGGGGGCGGGGGCGGGGGCGGGAGCGGGGGCGGGGGCGGGGGCGGGGGGGGATGTGGTGGTGTGGAGCTTTGGGAATCTTGACCAGTCTCCTGACTCATTCGTTCTCCCGTGGACCACATCAAAGGCGTGATGCTACGGGTGACCTCGGACTTTGATCCGAATTCGCTTTTGTTTTCTTCCTAGGGGAGGTCACAGTGTGCTCCCAGCCCTGGAAAGGTGGACCAAGGTTGGCACGGGTTGAAGGGAGGAGAGGGCAGCAGGAAATGGTAGAGGAATGAGTGGTGGAAAGGAGAAAAGGCCACCTCGCCTTCAGAATGGAGATAGAGCAGCCGGGACTCCTCTGAGAACCTAAAACGCAGTGAGGCTGTAGGATGGTGGTGGGGACCAAGGCACTGTGTGGCAGTCTGAAGTTTATGCTGGGAAGGATTGTGATAATCATTTATTAAAAAGGATCTAGGGCTGGCATAGTGGTGCGTGTCTTTAATCCCAGCACACAGGTGACAGAGATTGGCAGGCCAATCTTTGTGAGTTTTGAGGTCTGGTCTGATCTACTGAGTGAGTTCCAGGACAGCTGGCACTACACAGTGAGACCCCCCCCCTCCCCCGTCTCAAATAATAAACAAAAGAGGGTTGTTTATTTATAATAAATTAAAAAAACTTTATTATAAAATTTCCTACCAGTTTTCTTGCTTTGAACTGACATTTGAAATCTGACAACACCCACTGCTCCCTAATCAGAGTGATGACTCTGACATCTACCAGGCAGAGCCATTGCTGGGAAGACACAGGCCTTAGAAACAAGGCTGAAAATATCAGGTTCTAGTGGTGTGCTGCCCTCTGGAGGCAGCTCTGTGGCGTGCAGCCAGTTACAGGAGCTTGGCTAGGAATGGGATGTAGGGGAGGAAGTAACTTTACGAATCTCCAAATTTCCTAATGGGAAAGCAAATAAGACATAAGCATTATCTTAAAAACAGCCAATAGTGAAAGAAACTGTGTGTGAAACTAGAGCCCACGGTGTGTATGTATTTTCGAATTCCCAGGCCCAGCACATGCAGACCCCCTAGGGTCCTTGCTGACTTGGGCAAAGCTCAAGTGATTGACATGAGGGCCTGTGATGAGAGCACAGCTGTTTTGCTCGGTAGAGCCTGGGTGGGAGATGCTTACTTCAGAGGATCTTTCTAGGCTGGGGGAGCCAAACACTTCACTCCCACTAAACTCCATGCCATACTTGGGTCTTGAACATTTCTTTAAGGCTGTGTGTTAAAGGTGTGGTCTCTGGTCTGAGGCTTTTTGGGAGGTGATGATCATTTCAGTGTTATTCAAGGAGGAAGTTGGGGATCTTTTTTATAATTTCTAGCAATAAGGAACCAGTTAGAGAGTGCGTAGGCTGGTGTAATGTTATGTGGCTATTTAAAATCACAAGCTTAGAGATCGGGACTTCCGAGCAGCTGGAAGAGGGTTTGCCTAGCATGCGAGATGCCTCAAGTTCGTCAGCATTGCCTAAGACAGATGTGGTGACTGTAATCCAGCACCCGGGATGTGGAGGCAGGAGCATCAGGAGTTCTCGGCTACATAGGCAGTGTGAGGCCAGCCTGGGCTGCATGAGACCACGACACAACCAAGCTAAACTGTTGAATAACAAACTCTGCAGGCCTTATAGTGCTAATAGGAAAATACTCATGATGTAAGTTTCAATTTAGTCTTTTTTTTTTTTTTTGAGTCAGAGTCATCTCATGGGTAGCCCAGGCTGACTGTGAACTTGCTATTTGACTGAGGATAATACTGACTTTCTGATCCCTCTGCTTCCACTGCTCACATGATATCTACTTACTGACGTGCTGGGATTGAATTCAGGGCCTTGTGTATAATTTTAATTGAAAAAAAAAAGAATGGCAAAAATAAAACTAGCAATGTAATTTTAATCACGCAAAATATACATATTTGAGTGGGTGGTGGATCATCATTGATTTCTACATATATCTTCTAAAATTCTTATGTATTTATTTACATGTGCATAGAAAATGCTGGCAAGACTGACTATAGAGGAACCACACTCGCTGTATTGGTAACAGTGCAATCAGTGTCCTGACAATAGAAATATAAAATGGAAAGCATTTTGGGAAAGATTTTTTTTTGGAAAAGAAACTATATCAATACCCATTAAAATACTCAAAATTCATAGTTTTTTAATGCTTTTTAAAGGCTTTTATTCCAATAAAATAATTAAAAGAAAATTTTCTACATACGGGTATTCATAAAAATTCCCATAACAGCATAAAGCAAAAGAAACAAAAGAGAAAAGCTCCATTGAAAGGCACTGGTTAACCTGGGGCGCAAGTGGTTGAAACATCTGAAGTCAGTGTCAGTTTCTAGGGCTATAAAAACACTGAGCAGAGCAGTGCATGGGGCCCGCCAGCTTACCAGGAGAGGCCACGCCATGCCAGGAACACACGGCTTTGGAAAAGATAAATGCCCTTCAAGAGAACAAAACTGAATAATCTCTAAGAAAAATTATTGCATCTTTGCAGAAGATAAAAAATGAAGGGCTTTTGGCAGTAGGTCTAGTGAAGACTGAGAGACCTTCCTTTGTTGTTATTTATACCTAATTTGGTAACAATGAACAAGGAGTGTGTTATAATTGTCAGAGCATGTGCCGTTGGAAAACATGGCAAACACATCTATCTGAATACTTAGAGCTGTAGTAGACTCTTTCCTTTTACACGACAGGACATTCTCCTCCCTCCCCCCTCGCTGAACCCTCTAAGGGGAATGTAAATTTCTAAGTGGAAGGATTGGACTGATAGCTTATCCTAGAACAATTTCTGTGAAAACACACCCAGGTATCTGTTCATTCTAGAAGCCTCGTGATTAGACAGGGGCTAGGCTACATGAGTTCAGCAGGGGATGCCTGAAGGGCTCGCAGACTGGCAGGAGGAAATAATCACAGTGAGAATACAATATGCTGAGTCTACCAGAGTAGAAACCCCTGGATTTGAATAGACTCTGGAAAAGAAGTCAGGGTTTCCTGTAGACAGAGGAAGAGGCTTCTTGGTGGGTGGCCAGCAAGGGCACGCGATCCAGAGAGGGCACCTTGGTGATTGACAACGGATTCAGACTGTGAAAACTCAGTTGGGTTTCACTCTCAGGCTTTCACTTGTCCTCAGGGCCTGCTCTAGTTCCAGCTATCTTTACCTGCTGCCTTAGCTCTGTGCCCTCCAGCTCCCACACTCAGGAATAAGGCTGATAACACATAAACCACACGATCGTTGAGGGTCTTCAGTTGCTAACTGTAAGTACTACGTGAACAATGACTAAGGTTGATAACACATTATCCACATGACTGTTGTGGGTCTTAAATTGCTAACTGTAAGCACCATGTGGACAAGGAAAAATATATGTACAATGGTTTAATGAAAAGGAAAAAGACAGAACAGCATTCAAAATGTTCAATGAGAAAGTGGATACCTCTCAGTGAATTTCCCAATTCCAGGGCCAAGAAACCTATTATCCCGCAGCATAGAGACTCTGTGACTTGAGTTTTTCAGGAGCTGACATGCAGGGTCATTGGTCAACTACTTTTGACAAGTTAGATGAAACGGGAGCCATAACAGAGTCCTTGCCAATCTGGCTCACTGCAGATTATTCCCAGCGACAACGCCAGTTTGCCCAGCTCAGGGAAAGATCTCATCTCCTGCCTTTCACAAAACCTGGGTTGCCAGCATTTTCCAAGCAAGAAGACAGGATATCAGTGCTGGGCCTGAGTGTATCCCAAGCTGCCTTTGAATCCAATCTCACCTGGTCAGGGCAATAATTAGAGAATAGAAAAAAACACCATGAAACTGCCAGGGCAGCCCAGTCCTACCTGGGCAGTGCACATCCATAATATGTGGTGAGCGCAGCTATGTAAGTGAAATTCTTACCTTCTAGAACATTCTGTATGTAAGTATGTGTTTCTGCTGGTTTAGGGATGACTTCGTTTTATAAGTTCCCTGAAAACAAAAAGCCAGCTGGTAAAATGGAATGGCGCTCCCAGGCATAAGTTTTGGTTGGCACTTGGACAAGTTTTGGGTTCAGAGAGCCAGCTCATGTTTCTGTAGCTTCTATGATAAAAAAGACAGAGGTGGAGCTGGTGTGCATGCGTATAGAACACCGTACTCACCCCACAGTGATGTCAAAGATGTTGCTTCCAACAGAGCTGGACACGGCCATGTCCCCCAGCCCCTTCCTGGCCACGATGACACTGGTGATAAGATCAGGGATCGAGGTCCCCGCAGCCAAGATGGTCAGACCCATGATCTCTTCACTAATGCCGATGGTCTCTCCAACCTGAATATCAGAGCAAGGACAAATGTGAGGGCTCAGAGTCACAGAACCCAACACCATTATGAGACCTCTTTTGAATGACTCCCTCCTCTGTTTTAGGGTAAGTGCTGATATAAGATAAAAGAATAAGCCATAGTCACTGATAAAGGAGTTAATGCACTTCAGCATCTGTGCCCAGGAAGTCCTAGATGTGCACATGAGGACTAAACAGACTATTTGAAAGAATAAAGGGCTGTAGAGACCCTGAGTGCAGCCACCACATTGTTGTCTGCTAAGACTGTCAGGGAAGCTGCAAGATTCATTTGAAAAGCCAATGGTCTTTGAGCCTAAGGCCAGCACCTGACAATCTACTATTGGGTGTTAAGACAATGTCCCATTTTTTTCTTAATACCTTCAATTATTTCTATCACTCTAAAACACATATAACCTCTACTATTTCCACAGGGAACTTGGCATTGTGTGAACTTCGGCTTAGAAATATGGAGCTAAATCAACAAAACAGCTATGCAGAACCAATTTTGCAAGGAATCAGAGGGCCCTGGTCCCAGGGCTACTGTAAGGACTTGACCAATTGATAACCGTTCCCTGTACAGTGTCTTGATTACTACTTTCTTAGCAATCAAGTAGGGATAATAATACTTACCTTATAAGAAAGCTGTGAGCTAAAATGATAGTTTTCAGGAAAGCTTTTATAAATAGCACATCATTATTGAAAAGTGAGAAGGTGCAGTATTCTATTTCATTATGGTCTTTGCTTAAGACTGCTGGCTGTGTTTGGATAGTTGCACTAGCCTCAAGTAGAAATCCATCCATCCATCTGTCCGTCTGTCTGTCCATCATCCATCCATCTAGCCTCTATCCATCTATCCTCCATCCATCCATCATCCATCCATCTATCCATCATCCATCCATCTATCCATCATCCATCCATCCATCCATCTATCCATCATCCATCCATCCACCATCCATCCATCCATCCATCCATCCATCCATCCATCTATCCATCCTCCATCCATCTATCCATCATCCATCCATCCATCCATCCATCCATCTATCCATCATCCATCCGTCCATCATCCATCCATCCATCATCCATCCATCCATCCATCCATCCATCCATCCATCCATCCATTCATCCACCTATCCATTCATCCATACTGGGGATCAAACACAGGACATTGCACATGCTAGGCAAGCATTCTACCATCAAGCCACACATCCAGCCATGGTTTCTTTGAGACAGCATCTCACTATGTAGCCTCGGCTAGCTTTCAACTTGGGATCTTCTTGTTTCTGTCTTTCTGCCACCTGATTCTAGGATAGTGACTGTAAGCTACCACGCATATTTCTTTTTGTTTCTTGAGCACCTTACTTTGTGGGGGCTTAATAAACCTTTTATGTTTTCTGGAGCATTATTCGAGAATTACTGGTGTATTGCTGTTCTCAAAAATTTTAGAAAATGTTTTCCAATGTTATGTCATCCAAAGTTTTTTTTAATGTAGCTTTTAAAAATAATTTAATGAGCAAAAGAAAATACAGGAATAAAGAATTTTAAAGAATATACTACTTATTTTTAAATTTCTTTTTTTTATTTATAAGTACATAATATCTTGGTTCCTGGTAACTTAAAGGCAGGCTTTTATTTTGACAGTTGAGCCGACTCAGTCCTCCAGGCACACAGATCCACTGTTCCCACCAACTAGAAGGTAAGTTCCAGGGGAGGTAATGACACTTGCCACCAAGCCTGTCACCTGAATTAGAGCTCCAGGACTCACATGGTGGAAGAAGGCAAAAACACTCCAGCAAACTGTCTTCTCTCCGCTTCAATACACACTAATAAATGTAATAAAAACTTTAAAAATGACAAAGAAGTAATCTACATGCAAGCAACATCCACACCTCAGATTATATTATGTTGGGATATTAGATTGTAAAAATTTCTGCTTGAGTTGCTGACTTGACTTTCCTAGAAAGTTGTTAAATGAGGACCTGGGATGGCTCGGTGGGCAAAGGGCACTTGTTACCAAGCCTGATGACCTGGTCCCCAGAGCCTGCACACCGGAAAGAGAGACATGACGCTGGAAGTTGTCCTCTGACGCCCACACGTGTGCTCTGGCATGGGTAGGGGCCTCTTTGCCCAACTATGTAAAATAAATGAAAAAAAGTTAAACAAATTCTATTTTTCTTGGGATTAGGGCAGGGTCTCTAACCATTTCTGAACTAGTCCTAAACACATCTGTACCATATTGGACTGCATATTTGCATGATGCAGTGTTCTCAGGCAATTTTAAACATCAAATAGTGATCAACTAGGGAAAGGCACCATGTATGCGCTCTGTCCTGCAGCATCACACTTGCTTCTTCATACAACAACAAACAAGCAAGTTCCTCGGAGTAGTATGCAAAGAGCTTTCACCTTTAACAAATGGTTAAATTATATATGCACCAAAGAAGTGTTTTAAAATAAATTTATGACTTATCACGAGCAAATGTTTGATTTGTGTATTTGTTTTCTAGGGCAATACATCTGGGGTTGTGCAAAAAATTACTTGGGCAAAAAGAGTTACAAGAAGAAACAGGTGAAGAAGCCACCTGCTTTGGCTCTAAGCTCCTACTTGCGGCATGAATCACGCCGGTGATTTCCCTGGGCAACAGGAGGCAAAATGGTCTTCTTTGTGCTGACTCAGTGATTTTCACCCTAAGTATGTTACAATTGATTGAATATCTCCTCCTCCTCCTTTTTCTTTCTTCTTTTTTGTTTATTTGGGACAGGGTTTCTCTGTAGCTTTGGAGCTTGTCCTGGAACTAGCTCTTGTAGACCAGGCTGGCCTTGAAATCACAGAGATCCACCTGCCTCTGCCTTCCAAGTGCTGGGATTAAAGGTGTGCGCCACCACTGCCTGGCTATTATACATTCTTAGTAATTTAAATTCTTAGAAGGAATGCTATCGCGGTGATCATTTAAAAAAAATACACATTTGTTTTGATATTTGGAGTTTGAATGCCAGTCCTTATAGAAGAGTCCAAACTGTAAAGAAGCATGGTGGTGTGGTTATGAACATGGCTGAGCCTCCTACAGCCCAGGATGCCTTCCAAGTCTCTGATGAGGCTAGCTTCAAGTTCCTGAATTTCCTGCCTCCAGCTCCCAAGTGCTAGGATTCCACTTGTGTGGCACTGCGCCCAGCTGCTTGGGCATTTATCTTATTAGCTGTTAACTCAAATTTTTAAATCTGTATATTGTAGATAATGATAATTTACTTCTCATAGCATCTGAATCTGTGTGCAGGATACAAAACAATAGTAAAATGACAAAGGGATGTGAACTGTCCAGCATGGAGCATACACTCAACAAGTAATGGTTTCCACTCTCGTCTTTGAATGGAAGCCCTCAAATATCACTCATTCAAGCTGTTAGGCAGCAATCACTGAGACCATATCTTGGGATCAGCATTATGACTGGTACTGAGCCAACAGTGACAAAAATGACATGCATCGTTACATTTATAAATTAAAGCCCAAGGATGAATATTTTGTCTTCACGACCTTTCTTAATAACCATTGTTAAAAGGCTTGGTGAGGGCTGGGGAAGTGGCTCAGTGGGTAAGAGCCCACTTAAATCCCTGCAGAAACATGAGGACCTGAGTTCAGAGCCCAGGCATCCATGTGAAAAGGCCTGTAACCCCAGCATGGGGCTTTGAGGTAGAGATAGGAAGAACATTGGGGTTTTCTGCCTGCCAGCCTTGCTGAGAAATGGCAAGATAGAGGTTTAGTGAGGGACCCTATTTCAAAATCATATAAGGTAGGGAGAACATGGAAGACTTCCTATGCCTATCATATGGACTCACATATGTATACACATGCACACATACACGTATACACACATGTATACACAGGCACTCATGCGCGCGCGCGCGCACACACACACACAGAGTTGGGGGACAGCCATGCTGAGTTGCTTGTCCAAGACAAAATAAAGATACTGAGGTAGGCAGAATCTTGACTTTCTGCCCAAGTCCTGGTTGGCCAGGCCTTAGGGGACAGACAAGAAGAATCAGCTAGGCTTGCTTTCCTCCACATAACTATTTAATAGCTATGCTGATTTGATTTCTGACCACCAACCTAGGGGAATAAGAAAATCCAGTCCTGTAATGAAACTTGTTTACGTCACACTCAGTATTACGACAGTTCCAAAAGGGCAAACACATCGATTGATCACTTGACAACCGAGACTAGAGACAAACCAGGCAGACGGGTGCCACCGGCAGTCTTACCTGGTGTGCCCACCACACCATCAGGTAGGAGAAAACTGCGATCCAAGTGATGGAGCCGAAGAACGTGACAGGGAAGAACTTTTTGGAAGCCTGCGAGACAACCAGAGGGAAACATGTCAGAGTTGCCCTCTGTGCTGGAGAGAGAGTCCAAAGCTACAGCCGCCTTTGCCATTGCTGTGATTTCTCTCACATTTGTTACTTGGTTGCATCAGCAATTAAAAGATGCTACTTGCCCCTAGTCAAACTGGGAGAGGAAAATGCATTCTTGGAAATTTAAATTGATGGGGGCTGAATGGTTGTAGAACTGGGAAAGAAATCTCCCTTTCTTCTTTCCCCTGTCCCTTTTTCCTCCCCTTACCCCCACTTCTCTCTTTGAGACAGTGTCTCATGGCCCAGGATAGCCTAGATCCCCCAGAACTCCTTATGCAGCCCAGGTTGGTCTCAAATCCTATCTTCCTGTTTCAACCTCCCAACTGTTGTGACATGGACCACCGTATTGGGCTCTGGAAGTCACTTGAGAGAATGTTCATACCTGTAGCTAGCAGATCAATGCGCCCTGCTCCTGTCTTTTATAAGGTCTGGATTCTCTGTCATTCCTTCTGTTATATATCCTGCATCCTCCCTCTATCTATTCCCTTTTTTTTTAGCTTGCTTCCAAGTTCACCAGAATCAGTTCTACTGCCAGGAAACCATGTGCCATGATAATCTCTGTGCTAAACCTCTTATGTGATTGATTCCATGAAGCAAAAGACAGGAAGGATTAGGAAGGTTGGAAATAGGTTAATTTATCTTAGAGTCCCATGAATTAGCAGGAAAGCCACCACCAGAGATGGCTGGGATGGGTCGTCTCCATGACACTAGCTAGAGTGGACAGAGATGGAGACGCCCAATCAGAATGGTCCCTGCCAGGGAGGGGCAGGACTGACATCATTCTTGGAACTGTGTTCTTGGCACATTTATATTACACTTGTATTACATTTCTCTGACCTATATTACAAGTCTCCTTCTGCTTCCAGCACTGGACTTCCTGTCTTTTTGGATTTGGACTCTGTGAACACACTCAAAATTCCCTTAGAGCACCAATAAAAAATCAGACACTTAGAAATGTAGAGTTTCAGAGCCAATAAGATAGCCCAGTAGGTAAAGTCACGGGCTGGCAAGCCAGACACCCATGTCCCATCCCTAGAAAACATGGAGTGAAAGGAGAGAACCAACTCCTGTAAGTTGTCTCTGATCACAAGAACCAAATAAATAAATTTAATAACAAATGCAGTATTTCTTACTCAGTCCCATTCCAGGGAAATTGTGGCTTGCACCGAATTAGTTTCTGCTGATTCCCTTGATGGAAAACATGGGGCACAGATAAGAGAATGCTCTTTGAGAGCCCACCACCTATTATTGCCAACACTGTTAATTCCAAAGCTTTTATACGCTGAGAAAACCACACTCTGATAATGTCACCCAGTTCCGTTCAGGGCACCGGCTCCTGGAATTGATGTGGACAGCAGCTGTCTGAGTTTTCTGAAGGGCTGGGCTGGGCAGTCACAGAGTCCATTCTGCCATGGCATTTAAAGGCTCACGGGTAGAAAAAAGATAAATTCGTGTGTGGCAATCTTTTAAACCCAAAGCCCAGTGATAGACATGCTCTCAGGTTCCAGAGCGGGCTTGCAGTCTGTTAATTTCAGGCTTTGAGAAAGTCTTTTTATTATTATTCACACAAGCCTTAGACTCTGCAAGAATCTTTTCTCTCTGGAAATGACTGTTGTTGGTGCAGGGTGTTCTCTGGGTGACTATAAGACCAAATGGGCATGCTCAATTGGGAGGGGGCGTCATGTTACACTGAGCAGACCAGATCTTACCCTTAAATACTTCCCGGTGCTCCTCCTCCTTCTTAGAAAAGTATTTTGGGTAAGGACTCTGGTCTGTCCCGGAGACCTGAGCACTTCAGTGGGTGACGGGGGAAACACTGTTTTTTCAAAGGGGAGTCTACACCTTTAATCCCAGCACTGGGAGGTGGAGAAGGAGTGATATGTCTAGGTGGAGAGAGAATAATATAAGACGGGAGGAGACAGGAACTCAGTGCAGCCTGAGGTTTGGTGGAGACAGCTGCCGTCTGAGCATGCAGTCTGAGGACAGGACAGCCTGTTCAGTCTGAGCATTAGTAGAGATGAGAACTCTGGTGACTGGCCACTCTGTTTCTCTGACCTCTTACCTTTCACCCCTGGTATCTGACTCCGGGTTTTTATTGAGACCAATTAGAATTTGAGGTATACCAATTAATAATTAACACCCATCAAAAATATCAAATGTTGAATTAGAGGCTATTCAAAAACACTATAAAAACAAATATTCTTAGTGAAGTTCAAGCTTTTCATTATCAGCTAGAAGCAGGTAAAGACTGGATACCTACTCTGCATCCAGCTCTTCAACTAGAGATGACGTTCAGATCTGCTGACTACACAGCAATGTGTGCCTAACACGTATGTTTTACCATCACATAAACAGGGCCCAAACTGGTCAAAATACACCCCGCCACAGACAGAGTGAGCGCCGTCATCATCATGATGGGCTCTCTTCTCAGCGTCAGGAAATCAAACAAAAGTGTCCAGGAAAAGGTCAGCGCTCCAGCTGTAAGGCCAGCTGCCTCTCCAGCTTCCCAGATTGTTCTTGCCTCGGAAGCGGCAACCCTTCATGCACCAGCAGTCTGGCTAATTCTTTTCTCCATCAAGATGCCTTACCATGCCCAGTCTCCCAACCCAGGAAATCACCCCACTCATTCTTGTCTAGACCATGCTCCTCATGTGGGTTCCATGGTTTCATTCTGGACACCCCTGCCCAGGAGCATCTGCACAGGTACTAGGTTATGAGTCTCATGGAAGGGAGAGACCAGCCCTGAAGCCAAGGTCTAACCCATCAGGCTATGGTCGGCAACGGTGGCTCGTCCTGACATCTGTTAGGGTGGGCCTCACACCAATTAGCAAATGAGCAAATTGTGACCATGTGCTGCTCATTTTGCTTCCAGTGTAATGGCTGGGTACCTAATTGACAGCTAATGTTACCATTAGAAGCTTTTAGTAGAGCAGTGTGATACCGGCTTGAAAAAAGTCACCGGACAACAGCTGGCTGAGCAAACTGGCCATGTCCAGGCTGTTCTAAATTTAATAGTCACTGATCATCGACTTTGCGCAATGGACTGAAGAATATTCTTCGGGTGGAAGGGATGGGAGTCTTGTTATATAGCCCGGGATGGTTTCAAATTTATGGCTGTCTTTCCTCCATTTTCTGAGTAGTTGTGTTTACCATTTAACTTACCATTAAATCTGAAATATTTTATACTTATGTATTTATCTATTTGTTCATTCATTAGTATATGTGTGTGTGTGTGAGTGTGTGTGTGCACGCTTACACACACGGAGAGGTGCATGTTTATGCATATATATATATATATATATATATATATATGAAGGTCTGAAAAACAACCCGTGGGAGTCTGTTATCTTCTTCCCCCATGTGGGTCCTGGGAATCAAATTTAGGCCGTAAGTCTTGTTGTAATTGCCTTTACCTGCTCAGCCATCTTGCCGTCCCCTGAAGTAAACACACTTTAAGAAGTTTTCCACAACAGTCCTATTAAGATTCAAACTATGGCCACTGGGTTATGATAGTGGCTCTCAACTGAGCAGTGATTTTCACTTAGGAAGACTTTTTTAAGTTTTGGTTTCTTCGTCTGTAACGCGGAGGGGAGGGGTAACAAATCTAAACCTTCTGAAGAGTCATGTACACAGAAAGCCAAGCCAGGCACCCGAGACATGAGAAGTGCCCCTGTAAGCAATCACGGTTGTTACTGTCCATCATTGTCTTCATGGCAGGTTTTAAGAGGTGGAGAGGCTGAGACCTGGGCAGGCAAAGCCACTGTGGATGCCTGGTATGGAGGAGGCTTGGCTTCCTCTTAGCAGCTCTGATTGAACAAACCTCTAAGCCTCCCTGGGTTCTTAGTCACCTCGTTCTTGCTGCATCGCGTTTGGCTTCTGCTAGATAATCAATAAAAACTCGGTGAATTAATACATGACCCAAAATGCAAACCCCTCTCTGGCTGTCCAGGTTCCTTCCTGGTACTAACGGATCATGTTTTCCTGTCTCGAGAGATACACCCCTCCTTTGTGTGAACACCCACAGGCCACGAGAGAAAAATCACATTATGTGTCCTATTGTGCTTAATTTTCAGTTTTCACCAAAGGTATGTTTCGGGCCCCGGTTTACATTGTAGCCTTTTCTGTTTTCACACAAAGTTGTTTATTTAACAAAACTGTGTGAAGCTCCTATTTAATATCTGAGCTGAAAATATGTGTGAGTCAATAAACATCGTCATAAAATTTGCATAGGAATGATGTGGGAATGAACACAGTGGGAGTGATATTTATTCTGAAATTAGAACTATACAATCATGCGTTCCCTGTAATTACTGGTAAGGTTTGGGATTTTCATCCCTAGGAAGAATTTAAAAAAACTGCAGAAGAGACAGAGCTAGTGGGCCCTAAGGAGGGGCAAATGTCTGTTTCTTAATTTCCCTATTTTTCCCCCCTCTCATTGATATCATCTCCAGTGGCCTTTGTGGACATAAATAAGGGCTGGAGTAGGGCTGAAAAAACAAAACAAACAATACATCACTCTGCCTCTCCCATTGGTAGGTGAGCTCTATTCCCCCCTCCCCCGTAGGTTGTTGGCTGGCTTTAGGACTGACTTCAGTCAATACAATGTACTGGTCATGATGGAGTCATGATGATAAGGTCGTGATGGAGTACAAGTTCTGAACTAGATCTCAGGAGGGTTCTGTAGTCTTCATTCTTGTACCTCTTGGTCTTTTGCTATCCCATGACTAAGTTCAGAGCACACTGCTTAAAGGTTAGACACCATACAGAACACAGACAGGCTGTTTCAGCTGAGATGCTCCTACGGCAACCAGCTCCCAGGAGAACTGTATGGCTGAGCCTAGCACAGACTTCTGGTCCTTAGAATCATGGGCCGAAATAAGCCTGTCTTAAGCTGAGTTTGAGACGGTGTGTTACAGAGCAAAATGGAAAACTGACATAAGGAGCGATTGAATAAAACTCTCCTGTAATAAATATGACCAGGAAACACCTTATTGGCTCCTGTATCTACTGGCGTGGTTTATTTCATTTGGCCTCTTGTATGTGTGGGGAGGACCACATAGCTTATCTTCCAATCAGTATGCTCTCAGAGCAAGCTGGGACTATCACAGCAAGTGATACAGTCACCTTCAATTTGCACCATCGTACTGAGGCAGATTTCTTTATTTGTGCTTTTTCCCAATCACAGAATCCATGGCTGGTAAGGAATCTAGAGATCTTAGAAATCTTTATCAACAGCGGACAAAAATTGAATTCCGAGAAGTGCATTTCCCAAGATTCCTCAGCTTACTACACAGGACATGGGATGCGAACTACCAGTTGGGGTAGTGGAGTGAAAATGATCTGGAATCGGGAGCCTCGGGCTCAAGTCTCCTTTAACTGTTTCTGTGAAGTCTTGCTTCGAGTTACATGTAAGAGTCTCAGTCAGGGCTTCTGTTGCTGTGATGAAACGCCATGACCAGCAGCGACGTGGGGAGGAAAGGGTTCATTTGGTTTACACTTCTATCACTGTTCATGTGGGAGGAAGTCAGGACCGGAACTCCCCCAGGGCAGGAACCTGGAGGCAGGAGCTGATGCAGAGGTGGTGGTGCTATTCCTCAGGGGCTTGCTCAGCCTGCTTTCTTATAAAACCCAGGACCACCAGCCCAGGGATGGAACCACCCACAGTGGACTGGACCTTCCCCCATCAATCACTAATTAAGAAAATGCCCTTCAGGTTTGCCTACTGCCCTATCTTATGGAAGTGTTTTCTTAACTGAGGTTCCCTCCTCTCAGATGACTTTAGCTTGTGGCAGGTTGACGTAAACCCATGAAGCACAGCAAGCATGCCTTGGTTTAATTATTAAACTTAAAGATATAGCCTAATATTTTGTTATTTTACCCTCTAAGGGCCTCCCTCTGCTCCTGACTTTGGATGTCACATGACCAGCTGCCTCACGCCCATGAGTCATGTCTTCCCAATCCTGATAGAATTTATCCTTTTAAAACAATGAACCCAAACCAAGCCTTCTTCCCTCAAACTGCTTCTGTCCAGGTATCTTGGCACAACAATCAGAAAAGTGACAACAGAGATAGGAAGCTCCCCTGGCCGCGGTGGCAGGGGCTGGCCCTCAAGGGTAGGAGTGATGAATGAGTCAACGGTGTCACCAAGAAGAGCGCCACACACCGCTCTGTTTTCTCATCAGTCAGACTTGTCATGATCTAGGTGTGAGGTGTGATAGTTAATGCTTACTGTGAATGTGATTGGATTTAGAATCACCTAGAAGAGTTGTGGGGCACACCCCTGGATATGTCTGTGATGATGTTTTCAGAGAGGATTAATAGAAGGGGACAGGCTGGCCTCGGGTATAGACGGAATAAAAGGGAGAAAGGAGGCCTTCAGAGCACCAGTGTTTCCTCTTGGCTTCCTGCCCACTAGAAGTGAAGAACGGCCCTGCCACGCTTCTGCTCCCATGACCTTCTGCTCAAGTGCATGGGGCAAAGTAACAGTTAGCTCCCATTAGCCAGCCAGTCCTGCTAATGGGAGCTAACTGTTACTAACTGTTAACTCTGGACCATATCACGTTAAGCCTTCTGTAGAGAATTAGAAAACTGTACTTGGTTTTTTGATGTCTTCTTATGGGGTAAAAGAAAACACTGAGCCAAACAGCATAGAAACAGGAATGATTGGCATATTAATTACTTTCCTTGTTGTAACAAAAGAAGACAAAAGCAACTTAAGGAAGGGTTTCTTTCTGCTCCCAGTTAGAGGGTGCAGTGGTAGCAGCAGGCAGCTGGTCCCGTATGTCTAGTCAGGAGGCAGGAATAAATGAGGGGTGCTAGGCTGCCCCTTTCCTTTTTATTCAGTTGGGGGACAACAAACCACCCATGGGTTGATACCACCCACATTTAAGGTAGATCCTTCCTCCTCAATTAACCTATAACCCTCACAAATGTGCCCAGAGGCTAGGGTCTGGTTGCTTTAGACCCTGCTAAGCTGACCATCAGTATAAACCACCAGAAGGGATAATGAACGCATTGCAGAACTATCTGTGCAGTGTGAGTCATGAAAGGGGAGGGGTCAAATACATCAGCTGCTTTGTTAAGGATTTCAGGAAGCCAATCCTTCGTGACAGGCAGATGCTCTGGAGTTATGACTTAAGAAATTTAAGTGGTGATGCACACCTTTAATCCCAGTACTGGGGAGGCAGGTGGATCGCTGAGTTCGAGGTCAGCCTGGTCTACAGAGTGAGTTTCAGGACAGCCAAGACAAAACCAGACCAGCAGCTTGCCCCCTTTACCAGGGTAGCTGGACTGTGGCGAGTACTTCCTTGAGTCCTTTCCTAGTGTCTACGAAGGACACGGTTCTCTACCAGGCTGGGTTATTCACAGTGCAGGCTAATGGGATAGGATTCTTCTTTTCCCCACTCCCCAGCCAATAAAATAAGAAAGTATGATCACCAGGAGGCCCTTGAAGATTTCTGCTAACTTTAGACTTGAATTTTATTGCAAATACTTTTAGATTTTTTTTTCCAGATTAAAACCATCTCAGCTCCAACCTCTGGTGTGAGGGCCCACAAATGTGAGCCTATTCCACCTTGACTGGAGGTCAGAGAGTTTGAGCTGAGTTTTTTCTCTTTCAAAGTTGTTGACAACAGGTGTGGCTACAACTAGAGATCCTGACCTAGGGTGTGGTTATTTGGTATTTTGTGCATTAAGATGGCCTATAGAGGTGGATCCACTCTACCCTGACCAATGGCCAGAGGACTCAAGCATACTCCTTTGCTCCTTCATTTAAAATAGGAGGTTTGACATAGGAAGCAGCTGCCTCCAGGATGCTTGGTCTAGGATGTATTCATTGCATATCCTGCTCAAGACATCAAATGCTTTACTCAGGAAATGATGGCTTGATATCTCAAGTACTGAAGCAAGTGACTATTCTAATTGTCCTCTGTGTTAAGTTAAAGCCATCTTTTGCCTCCTCCCTTTTGTATTGGGATATAAAAGCATATGAAAAATAAACATGGGTGAATTCAGTATTTAGCATCCACTGAGTTGCCCTCCCTGTACTTTCCTATGTCTCTGTGTTTCTTTCATATCCTTGTTCCTCCCACCTAACATGTCTAATCTTCATGCACCTACCCTGGAACGTACGAACCCATCATGGCTGACCTATGGCAGAAGTCATCCTCTCAAAAGGTGGTTTATGACACCCTGGAAAGTGACCAGATAGTATTTAGTTGATTCACTAGTGCCTCTTTTTCTTACACCAGCAATACACGTACATCCTACCTCAGATGTTTCCTGAGACCCACGATATAGCCTCATTGAAAATATCAGTGCAGAATCTGACGTATGATAGGCGCAAGCGTCCGTCGAGTGTGTGTTGGTGCATGCACCCTTTCCCTTTCATTACCTTTTCTACCTTTATTGCAAAACCGAATGGCTTAGGACTCTCGTTCACCAACCCTGGAAGGGGACGCTCCTGTGATTAGTCCACACTTAGATTAGCTTTTGCTGGCTGCAGGATAGTATTGCATTCTCAGCCCTTGACATCTGACAGCATTCAATAATAACATTGGTTATAGTGATGGCAGTAAAATTACAGAGGGAATATCAGATATGTAGGCATTTGCATTTCTTTAAATTATCTTTAAAATATCTCCAAAAGGAAACTCAAGAAAATATAGAGCCACTGCCCTGTTTGGACCTTGAGAGACCTTGGGTTTTTAGTTTGGCTTTTTGAGAGACAGGGTTTCTCTGGCTGTCCTGGAACTCACTGAGTACACCAGGTTGGCCTCAAACTCACAAAGATCTGCTTGCCTCTATCTCCTGAGTGCTGGGACTAAAGGTGTGCACCACCACCCAGCTGAAACCTTATGCCCCCTAAGAGAAAATTGTTATGGTTGTTTCAAGCTTTTGGCCATTTTTTTTTCATTAAGCAATTCATATGGCACTGGGCACTGCCATACTTTAGCTTAATTCTTTTTAAGATTTCATGTTTTAAAAATTGTGGTATATGTGTGTGTCTACACTTGGGTTTGTACATGCCTGAATGCAGCTGCCCTCAGCATCCAGAAGAAGGCATCCCCAGAGCCGAAGTTACAAGTGGCTGTGAGCCACGTAATGTAGCGAAGAACTGAACTCAGATTTACTCAGGAGTAGTGTGTGCTCTTAGACCCTGAATTGCCTTTCTTGCCTCTAGGTGAACTGTCCTCTCCCCTTTTAGGTTATGGGGTCTTTTTATATATATCTCCGGCTGCCCTGGAACTTACTCTGTAGACCAGGCTGGCCTCACACTCAGAGTGCTAGATTAAAGGTGTGTGCCACCACCACCCAGCTACTGCTACATTTTTAATTACAGCAGGTTCATGGGTGTTTTGGCCAGTAGAATTGTCAGTACATAGCTTCAGAGTCAAGGGAACCAAAGACCACCTAACTTCTGTCTTTTACTGTTCGAATGCTCCCCTAACCTCTTATGTAGGACATTGGGCTAACCTGGGGCCACCATGCTGTGAGGAACCAAAGTGCAGAGACAGGCCGTGTTTGGGTACTCTGATAGACAACCAGCCTTCAACCCATCTCTGCCCAGGTGCCAAAAACCTTAGCAAAGTAGGTGACTGCAGGTCTCAGCTGTGAGTCACCCCCCTAACCATGCAAGTTTCTAGCTGGAGTCCCAGGTTTGGTGGGGTAGGGGTAAACCATCTCCAGAGCACCCCACTTCAATTTCCCTCCCGAAGGATCTGTGAACGGAATAAAATGGTGGTTGTTTTACACGCCTAAGTTCTGGGGTGGTTCAGGTTTGCTAGTCACTACACAATCACTGAAGTTCCAGACATGCATGAGAAGAGACATGCACACAACTGGAAATGGACTACGGTGGCTACCATACTTTTTTTTTTTTTTTAAACAACGGTCTCGACAGAGCTGCACTCACAGGTTTGCGGACGTCAGGTAAGGTGATCCAGAGAGGGAACACGATGGGGAGAACGGTGAGGAAAGTGACTTGTTTGCGGGCGTTGGATGGCCAGGACAGACTGAGGGGCTGGTCATCCTCTTCCTCAGTGGTCTCTGTGGCCTGCTGTAGAACAAGAGGGTGGCTTTAAACAGGCAGAAGCTTGGGGAGTGATGGGGGTCACATACGGCAGGACTGCAGAGCAAGAGAGGGTTGTCCCCAGCCACCCCAGCTGCTTTCACAAGCATTCTTTTTCTAGAAGCGCCCCCTAATTTACAGCCCGAGGCCCAGGAACAAACAGTTCACCAGAGCATAGTAAAACTTCCTTTTCATTCTTTGAGTATCTTATGGCTTCTCATGTTTATCAACTGATATTCAACATTGACCATAGTTACTACTCATGACATTTTTTTTCTTTCTTTCTTTCTTTCTTTCTTTCTTTCTTTCTTTCTTTCTTTCTTTCTCTCTTTCTTTCTTTCTTTTGATCCAACTATGCTTCATATTCAATTGTACAAAGTAATGGGTTTTATTATGACATTTGCATACACGCACATAGTGCACTTTGATATAATCCACCTTATCCTTTCAAAAAAAAACTCCCTTCATGAACATTTTGTGATTAATAATATCTGCTGATATATTGACCTATGACCCCATCTCCTTTTCCCTGGGACTGTGTTATGTGGTTAGGACTCCTTGAGAGGAAGAAGACAGGTAAAAAATTAAAATTCCTCTCTTCCCCTGACCTCCCCCTCTCCCCTGTCCTTCCCTGCAACTGTTATTCACTAGGCGCACAAAGCTCACTTCAGAAACAGTCCAGTGTTAATTCTGGGATGTCCTAGCTCTAGTCACTCAAGAATAAACTCAGCAGCTTTTGCGTGGCTATTCCCAACTCGTCATTAAAGGCATGTTACACAAACACACGCCTCAGGACTCAGAGAAACGGGGTCAAAGGCTAGTCTAACATCCACCCTGGCCGGCATCTCAGAGGCAGGGTACAAGCTCCCAGTCTCTGATCTGGCAGCTCGTTGCCTGCGCTCTAGTGGCCTTTGCTGCACTCAGCAAAGAGGCTGCACTCAGACCCAGAGGCAGGCAGACAAAAGGTGAGTCTGCCCAGCAGGATGACCGTTAGTCCATGACTGGGGCACAGAGTCACTAGCAGGGCGCTGTGACACCACCCATCGCCGCCCACCCTGCTTGTTCAGAAACAAAGTGGCAGCAACAGGACAGAGCACCAAATCTAAACAAATCAATAGGTGTCTCTTCAGTGACGCCTCCTTTAGAAAGCACAGAGAGCTTCCTGCAGGCTTCCGGCACCGCTTGCACACTCAGCAGTGGCAGCGGCAGCGGCAGCGACTCCTTCAATGTCTGTGTCCCTAAGGAGTGGCAGGTGGGAAAGGTTTGGGCCAGATGTTTTAAGGGATGAAATACCAAACTAGAGGTCACGGATGGGTGTGTGCAGATTCACAGCAATACTACTGTACTGTTTGTTTCTTTACTGGCACTCATTAGAGCTGGACAAAAGGCCTGTCACGGCTTACGAAATCACGTACCCTTCAACCTTCTCTGGGGTTTAAAACAAAACAAAACAACAATAACAATAAACCAAACAAAAAAGCCATGTTGAAAAGGACAGGAAATAACAGGCTTGTCACAGTGGGTAAGAATCCTCAAAGTGCCAGGCGGGTCGTGGTGGCACACGCCTTTAATCCTAGCACTTGGGAAGCAGAGGCAGGTGAATCTCTGTGAATTTGAGGCCAACCTGGTCTACAGACAGATTTCCGGGAGAGGCTCCAAAGCTACTCAGAGAAACCCTAGAAAAACCAAAAGAGAAAAGAAAAGAAAAGAAACACGGGATCCTCAAGCACAAATGTGAGCGAACTGTGGGGATTAGGTAAAGACGTTGGCACAGTTTGGTTACCCAAGCACACACCTCGGCCCTCCAACCCCTTTGCTAATGTGACACGGAAGCCATCCTACCCACCATTGTCTTTATCCTTTCATGGGGACCCCCTCCCTGATCCACACCATGCTATCCTTGGAGGAGAGGTGACCCACAGAGACATCTATCCCCTATGGGCTCACGTACCCAGGGTGCCATCTGGATACAAGAGTGATAACCTGTGTGCCACGGGGCAGTGAAGACTAAGAAGGCTGGGGCATATTCCGTTTTCATCCGACGAGGTCTTCCTCATGTAACCTAATGGGTGATTTTCCCTTCCACACCTGGTCGACACTCAGGAAGTAGGCACTGAGAGTTGACGTACCATGCCAGTCTTCATGAGCACGGCACGTCATGCCAAGTCGGGGGTTTGATCCAGCTGAGGACTGGCTTCCTTGAAGACCAGTCAGCCTATCGGACTGGCTTCCTTGAAGACCAGTCAGCCTATCGGATGAATTCACTGCACTCCTCTTTCTGCTGCCATCCACAACTTAGCAACCTCCCTCTAAGCTCCAAGCTACCCCTTTTTTTTTTTTTGAGAAACGACAACAGCAAGTCTTTGTGACTCATATCATTTTAATGACACCGACAGATGGTGACATTTCATCAATAACCCTTCTGCTTGTAACCTACGGATTAGCTCTTTTCTCCGTCTGCCAAAGTCACCAGGCAGGCAGAGCCGCCAGTGAAGAGCAGAAAATAATTGTCCGTTTGGACGCCCAAGCTCTGAACACACGAGTGTCCAGTGCAAACAATTAGCTGTGTTGTGTAGGGTCCAAGGATGGCATTTAAGGAGGCTGTTGCTAGGGCCGGAGTGGACCAGGTTGTGCTTTAAGCTGGGCTAACAGAAAACTTCACTCTTCAAGGGACCAGTTCCTATTGCAGGAAAGTGACAGGGTCCGGAACCCTGGATGGATGTGAGAGGGGCCTCAGGAGCAAGGTGTCAGGACACCTCAGAAGAAATGCTTTTTGTCTTCTTGCCAAGGAAATCTCGCTCTGGCTCAATGGACAACAGCTTGCAAGCTGGTTAGAGACTGCAGAAGAACACACTGTGCCAAGTTCAGGACCCCTTTGTCTGTGCCTGAGCAGGAGATACAGCGCTTGTGTTAGGCTTGGCCCCAAGCGAGAGGCCACTGAGGTCAGGGCGATGAGTTGTCAGCTTTCCCTGGAGTTGGGGCATGCCAGCTTTGACCTTGTGATGACCCGTTTTTGCCTCCTGAAGTGTCTGAAGAGCGTCCCTAGGAAACACGGCAAGGAGAGCCGGCTACAGCTGTGTGAGCCAGAAAGAATCCAAGTGGTTTTTGATGTAAAGACTTAGCATGGTTTGCAATCAGCAGGGGCCCTGCATAAGCCCTACGGTTACACAAAACTAGGCTAGTGACTAGATCTCTAGGACCCTGTAATCTCTGAGAGTAAAAAAAAATAAAACAAATCTTAGAGAAAGACACCTTACTCAGCAGGGCATGGGGGTTTACACCTTTAATCCCAGGACTCTGGAAGGCAGAGCCAGGAGGATCCCAGTCTTTAAGGTCAGTCTGGGCTATATAGTGAGTTGCAGGACAGCCTGGGCTGTATGGAGAAATCCTGACCACACACACACACACACACACACACACACACACACACACACACCTCTAACTAGCTTCCTAAGTGATGGGTGTTGCACTAGCCCTCAGATCTAGTGAGACGGGGAAAGCAGGGGGCAGAGTCAGGACTCACAACTTCCACTTTCCAGATTTCTCAGGGAGCCTCTGCTCTCATCTTCAGATTCCCGAGGGCTTTTAGGTAGGAAGTGAATCATGAAACATCTAGGGCTCCTGCTTCCAGGGTGTATTGCATTTAAAAGGAGAGGCAAAACCGGATGACCCCAAAGCACTGAGTGCTGGCTAGTTGCTAACATGAAGGGGAAGCTCACGGGATCCCCGCCCGTAGACAAAGTACAGGCCCTGAAGAAAGCTGGGAGCAGGAGAGATAGCCTTCTCCAGGGGTGAGCCCCCTGGCTGTTATCAATACCAAATGGTCATCCCCGAAACCACTAATGTATATACGAGTAACACTGAATGGTCCGAGCAAGTTGTGTTTATGGATTTATGCACACACATATATGTATCAACAACAAATAAAAAGAGGTCAGGTATTTGTGGGGAACATGCAAAATGTTGAAGGAAGGGAAGGGAGGGAGAAATGGAGTAAATATGTTTTCATTTCAAAATATTGAAAAAATGAAATGCAGGCGCTATAGACACCAGTGAATATCGTGCTCTCAAACCCAGCCCCTCCCCACCAGTGCTTCCCCGGGTGGCTGAAGTGGGGAACGTGGCAGCCAAGCCCAACAAGGAGATTTTATGTGGGCTTCATCGCCTGATGCCACCCCAGACTCCTTTAACAGTGGATAATCCCATTTTCGCTACCTTTAAAATGGGTATCTAGGGAACATTGTAGAAAATGAATAAAGCTCTTTACAATAACAAATCTTCCTGGGACTAACGTCAGCAGGAGCTGAAAGGGGAGCTGGGTCAGTTTCAGACTCTGCCATTCGGTGTTTGAAGGTCATGGTGCCCCCAAGGAAGACTGCACAGGAAAACAGCACCTTCACTATCCTGGGACTGCCTGCCTCCCTTTTCATGCCCAAAGCAATAACAGAAGCTCTTTGGTAACACGCATCATCTCTTAAAGTAGGTCTCCATGGGAACTGGTGAAAGATGTGTGGGTCTGGGCAGTGGGCCTGCAAGACCCTCCCAGGGAACATCCTGATGGCACCTTATCTAATGATGGGACAGCTGAAGAAAGCCACAGTAAACATGTGGTTTCCATGAAATAGGAAGTCAGACATAAAGCTGTTTAAAATAGGAATTCTGTTCTAGAAGGTTCCTTTACAACACTGAGGCTACTGAAGAATCACCTGAAATAGTTCGTGCAAAGTCCTTAGGACAATGTTTGGCACACAGCAGACATTCAAACCATGACAGTTATCACTCTTAAAATATAGTCAGGAAAATAATTTCTTCTAGGAGAAAGAAACTTGATTAGGTGAATTATAATATTGCTTCCAACAATAAAGCCCTACAATTCAATTATCTGATATGAAAGTGGAAAACTGCAATGGATTTCCCCCATCTGTTCACTCATCCAATATCTACTGAGCATTTGTTGGCTGCTGTGATACCAACAATCTAACTTT